GAGGTTCCTTGGTGGGCAGAGATCGCGCGACGTACGATTAAGCCGAGAGATCAAACGAGGAGACTACGGGAATTGGCGCGTAATTTGCAGAAAATTAGTTCCTTTGAGCGTGGCGACGGTAAACATCGGGGGTATCTCGCCCCTTGACCTACATTCTTACGTCACTGTCAAGTTCCTGGGCCGATTATAGCACCGTGGACGATCGGGTGTCGCGACGGTGGCTGCGTTCGAGAGGACGTTCGTGCGTTCTCGGTGCACCCAGTCATAGTAGCGTAGTTCGTGGAACTGCAGTTCCTTTATACCTTTACTTACTTGGTTTATATTTAGTTTCGGGAACGAGAGAAATCGCTATGCATTCGCTATATGGTTTGATACATGGTTTGGTATATGGTTTAGTATATGGTCTGATACATGGTTTGACACATGGTTTGATACATGGTCTGATAGATGGTTTGACACATGATTTAGTATATGGTCTGATACATGGTTTGACACATGGTTTGCTATATGGTCTGATACATGGTTTCATATATGGTTTTATACATGGTCTAATACATGGTCTAACACATGGTCTGATACATGGTTTGATACATGGTCTGATACATGGTTTCATACATGGTTTGGTACATGGTCTGATACATGGTTTGATATATGGTTTTATGCATGGTCTAATACATGGTCTAACACATGGTCTGATACATGGTTTCATACATGGTTTCATACATGGTCTAAGACATGGTCTGATACATGGTTTCATACATGATTTGATACATGGTCTGTCACATGGTCTGATACATGTTTTGATACATGGTTTCATACATGATCTAATACATGACCTGACACATGGTCTGATGAATAAGAGATTTGACGAAGATTTCATAGTAAACCTAGCAATACAATTGATACTACAATCTCCCAATTCACAATTGATCACAAAAATTGTAACATAGTATGCTAGAAAACCTACTTGACCTACTACCTACCTAAAGATCTCCGTTCTCAATCATTTACGAATTGCGTATACACGAATCGGTACGATTCCCTATTCTTCACCCGGCATAGACTACGTAGGGCTTTTACTATATCGATCGGTTAGAAATAGCCCGAGAGCGGGTCAACGCGCAAGTTTTCGCGTTAACAGTTATCGATCGTTCAACTTTCCCGAGCAGATATCGCGGATTGTTAATCTCGGTGTCTCGAAAGGATCTTACGGAGAGAAGGTAAGAGCGGAAAGACGAGAAGGCGAGAAACGGGCAGGCATGCGAGCAAGAGACCGGCCGAGCGCACAGTTTGTCCGGCTACGAAGAGAGCAAAACCAGCGTGGCGCGGAATGCACAATAAGCGTTGGGTTACGATAAACTGCCCAGAAACAATGGAGCTTGCCGGAGCAACGTGCTCCGAACTGTACAGCCTATCGAGTTACCACACTGACGCTAGGGAGAAGGTTGCAGATCGAGAACAAAATCCCATGGTTAGCCAACTAAATTTCGGACGAATCAAATCGCAGCTGCTTCGATACGCGTGTAACAATAGGAAGCTACTAATCTACGCTGCGCATGCGGATGATTAGTCGATAAATTTCGCTTACATATTCTCACAATTTTTGCGCTCGTCTTTTCATATCATAAAGCTACATACTCTATACACTATTTTGATGAGTCTGACTCGTGACGCACTCATACTTTTTACAATTTTACTCGAATTTTGAATACATTTCTATTTGGAGTTCAAGTCAATCAATAATTTATATAATCAACGACTGCATGATATAAAAAAATTGACATAACATTTCAAGTGTCTGTGACGGTTTTAATATTACAGCTGCTATTAGTTAGTTATGACTGACTTGACAAAAAAATCATACTGCAAGGGGCTAAGCCATCGTCCGCTGTGCATGCAGCTGATTAGTTAACAAATTTCGCTTACAAACATATTCTGACAATTTTAAGCTTGCACTCGTCTTTTGATATAAAGGTACATGCTAAACTATCATACATAAAGCTACATACTAAGCTAGCATATATAATGCTACATACTAAGCTATCATACATAAAGCTACATACTAAGCTATCATACATAAAGGTACATACTAAGTCATCATACATAAAGCTACATACTAAGCCATCATACATAAAGCTACATACTAAGCTGACATACATAAAGCTACATACTGAGCTATCATACATAAAGGTACATACTAAGCTATCATACATAAAGCTACATACTAAGCTAACATACATAAAGCTACATACTAAGCTATCATACATAAAGCCACATACTAAGCATCATACAATAAATTTCGTCTACAAACATGTTCTGACAATTTTAATCTCGCACTCCTCTTTCGATATCACACTAGCGTTCAACTCATAAAACTCATTGAAAATAAAATCGAGAAGCACCGAACATAAAGGTGCTGTAGAAAAGGAAGCGCGGTTCCGCGGTAGGCAGGTGTTCGGTCGATTTCGTCGTATCGTGAAAGGCGAAGCTATGGAGTCAGATTTTCGGTAGCGACCGATTAACTGCAGGAGCAGAAACGAAAGAACAGGGCGAAGAAATAAGAATAAGGTTTAATTTTGTCCGGGAGCACGCGTCGAGGGGACAGAAACGATAACGAAGCACGGAAGCGCGGCAAGAAATCCGAACGAAGCAGAGCCCGAAGAAAGAAGAGTGGAAAGGATCGCATACCTGCAGAGCAGGTGTTCCGTCGAAGACCGGCTTTCCGTCCCTTCCTTCGCGTCCACGTCTCGGTTCGCGCGTTCGAACATATACGGTCGCCTCGAGGTTACCGATAGAAAATCGGGTGCTGCGGGCGTGGGAGTCGAGGCTGGAGTTTGGCGCTATGCCCGCTATGACCGCGTTTTAATCTGCGAATGCGGCAAATTACTGACAGAGTAAAAACGCAACAAGTAATCGGAATTATTCAGTGGAACGATTGAAGATCGCAGTATTTACGAAGGGCCCGTTCTTCGAGAAAGTCTGGCCTTCCTGGGAATTGCTCGATCGCGAGTCGAGAGCGATAAATTTATCCGAGATAGGGTCCCCTTCCTCTCTTTCCGGCTCGGTTCAACGGGGGTGTACGAAAAGACAAAAATAACCCCGGTTCTCCACCCCAACGGAAGAATTCGTTAGCGTTTAACGACGAGTCTTACCTTCTGTCTGGACAATATTCGCGATTATCCGTTCGCGTTGATAGAAAAGACAATTTATGACGGGAGTAAGAGTGAAATACGAGTTGGCTCGTGCTCAAACTGCGTTCCCGTGCGAAATTGCGCGGAAAAGTGAACGAAGAGCAAGAAACAGATAAGAAAGGAGTAACACGCGTCAACGAAGCTTCCTACTTTGATTTCGCGTCACGCACGAGGTCGTCTACAGCCAGCTTTCGATAATTTGCTCGTTAAATACGTTAATCGTCCACGCGCGACTTTCGTATGACACAGATACGCCTCGGGTAACGGATATCGAAACGGGAGGAAGTACGAAACTCCGATTCGTAATTATCCTCAAACGAGATTACAAAGCCGCGAGTCGTACAACGTCGATTTTGCCGCGTTCGATTTCGAGGGAATCGATGGAGAGGCGCTAATGTAGGTACGACGGAACCTCCTAACTAGATTAATTATCGATAACGAGTTTCCATCGAAGAATGATCTTCAACGTCGCACCGATATCGTTAACGCTCCCTTCCGATGTGGGTAATTTATGCAAACCGTCAACGATCACGGAGTCGAAAGAAAGGAAACGAAAGAGAGTGACTTTTCCCGAGAGTCTTCGACAGGACAAATAAACGTTTTCCTGTATCCCCGGATAAAGGGACCTCTTCCGAAGCGTGCCGGAAACCGTCCGTCGACCGAGACAAAGTTATCATTGTTTCCGCCTATTATGAACGCGATCGAGAATCGTGGACGCGTCGAGGCATCGGTGTCACCGGTAACGTACGTGGCACGTGCCAGTTGCAATTATTACGCAACGCGCTAACGATGAATGAACGACCGAGAACTTTACGGTAGGTTGACTTTCACGAGAGCGAACGATAATTATCAACGTTCGATGCGCGCGTAGCGTCGTTCGTTAACGTCCAAAGCGAACCGGTTGAACGTACGATTCGAGGGGAATCGATCGCGAGCAAAGGTCAGTCGGAAGAACGCAGGAGTTCCGTAAAGGTCCGGGAGTGCAACCGGTTACCCAGAAAAATCCGTCGGAAAGAGCGCGAAGCGATTGGCGCGCAAAACAGACTTTTGGTTTTCGTAATCGACTAATCAGTTTATAGGAAGAGAACTTACAACGTAGCTTAATCTAATTCAGACAGCGCATGCAACGGAGCTCACGCTGTGTACGCGCTTCCTATCGCACGGCATCGAATCTAAATTGAGACGAGGAAGGACAACTAATTAGGTGTCGAGCACGTTTTATATCATCTCGATCGTAGAAAGCTCGGGTATATGCGCATTCCTGGTGCATCGACTCGCTTCGGATACGCGACGACTCGGGCCGATAGATACGCCGACGCTCCGACTGTCGTTTCCTCTCCCGACCTCGAATCCTCCTCGAATTCTCGGTCTGTCCGTGGTCGTTGTTTCCGCCTCCGCGAGCCAATCTAATCTCGAGCTATCGATCTTAATTACGCCCCGAGAGCCCCTTAAACGGTGTTTCGTTTCGTTCGTGACGAAAGATGCTTATCTCGATGGAATTTTTTTATTCTTTGGCGGTCGCCGATCTCGAGGTACGCGAATCGATCCGTTACGCTCTCGATGTAAGTACGCGGCTTTTTAAGCGCGCATCGACACGCCTATTTCGTGGGCATCGATCGCCGATCCGACTCGCGCGTGATCCGATTCGGATCGAAACGACGAGAAACCGGAGTCATCGAGGTAACGCGCGCAAGAAAACTTGCGCAAAACGCACCGTTCGCATTCGATACTTTTAACGATGCTTTTATACTTTTCATCCGTCTGTACCCTCACGATCGATAAACGAAACACGATAAAACGTGCACTGACCTTTCTGCTCCGACTGCGAATTCACCAGCAAACGTGGATGCCTGGGTCAGAGTTAAATTCATGGAATCACTGGAAACTGACACTCGCGGTTGCCCGTCAGCGATCCTTACATTCTTGTCCCCGGATTCGATTCGATTCGGTGCGGTCAAAAAATACACCCAACAGAAGACAACGCGGATGCTTCCATAGCTCGAATTCTCTCACGCTCGTACGTTCGCACCAGCACCGATGCCCGAACGCGACGCGGCTCCGGTTCTATGTCCTTGACACGCGTCGTCCTGACCTATCATGTCCGATTCGGCGAACGAGCAGCGGTTCGGTTTTGCTCGATCGTTCGATCTTTCGGTACCGTGCGTGTCCGTCGGCACCGGTTCGGATCGCGGTTACCCGGAAGTCCTAGCGAACACTCGCGTGTTACCGATCGAAATTCACGTGACAGTCGTCCTTTCTCCGGCGGAGCGAAAGCACTGGCGGCTCGGACGAGATCGAAATCGAAACGAAAGACGGGAGACGAGAACCGAGAACGGGAGTGACTCGCGAGCGTGTTGCGAACAGAAAGGACCGAAGCGGAGGTCGAACGAAAAGACCAAAGGATACGACGCGGTAAACGTCCACGCTCGATCTGAGCAGCCCGGCGCGGCGGCTCGAATCTAGCGCGCATCTGCGCCGCGCACTCGCGCCTCCGATTGGCTCGGTGAGCCTCTTTGCTCCCCT